AAATGTAACGAATATAAGAAGATTGTAATATCCGAATTAGTTTTATAAGTAACGATTGTTTATTAATATGTTCCGAATTTTATAATAACTAACTACTGAAGATGACCACAACCAGATGGTCGAAACGTCTAGATTGACCTAAACTTTTGTTATAATATATTAATAAATTAAGCACGAAAATCCAGCTTGGGCTCTGTAGCTTGTTGTTAATAATTTATTTGAATAATTTGAGCCAATATTATATTTTTAATTTAAGTTAAATTAAATTAAATTATCAAAATTTATTTTATCAGTTTATACAATTTTATAATATATAAAATTCATATTACAATTATTATTCATGACAGATCTACTTTTATGTGATGTTTAATATACAGTTATGTATATTAAAAGATAAAAAGATCAGAATTATATAATATACTTGTATAAAATCTCTCGAGGTGTTATTATTGATAGAACGACGCGCCAGATATTTGTAACAAATTGATAAATTCAATTATCATAAATATAGAAGATAGAAGTTATTAATAAGCACAACTAAAATCTAAAATGGAAGCTTTAAAATAGCTTCGAATAAATATTTGTCATAGTCATTTTGGAATTAAGAAACAGTAAAATATAACAAATGTCCGTGTTTAAACTAAAAAGTGTGCACCGTAAGAATGTTTATGAGTCATTTTGCACGAAGATGGCCAGCAATACTATCACGGCTATTCGTTGCACGACTGCTCTAGCATTACCGTCTTTCCTGCTGCGCAACGAGCTGCAAAAGCCGGTCTCTAAAACCAGAAAAACCCTCGAATTGGGTCATTTTTTTTTCTTTCTCTCTCTCTCTCTCTTTCCCTCTCTCTTTCTCTCTCTGTCACCGACGACGTGCGGTAGTTGGGCCACGAGAGGCAGGCGGAAAATCCTTAATCCACCTCGGTCGCTCGGAATCTGGCGTGAACCCGTGCGAAAACAACGTCGAGGGGTGGATTATGATGATTGTAGAAACAACGTGAGAGGGTGTATTCGTATTCCTCCGAATGGGTGGGTGGTTTTCCCAGATGTATTGCACACCCAAGCATGACCCATAACCGTGCCTCTTTTCTCCCGCCGCTGCTCCCCCAAACAGTGCACGGATAGACAAATTAGCCCTCTTTCACCCTTACTCGAGCACGGTCTAAGAGGCTCAGCATTTGTACCAATGGAGCTTATTTTTCCACTAAGCTCCTGCGACTCGGTAACAGATCGTCTTATAATAACGACGGAGACGTCCCTTACACGTAAAAATATATATAATACGTCATTCTCAAAACGCGCTCAATTTAAGGAGTTACGTTACTTTTATCGGAAAAATGGTTCTAATTTGACGGATAATAAAAATTTTTGTTCAGATCTCCGCGTTTTTTTTTTTCACGCGCGTGAAATTCAATCACATCTGATTCTTTTTTGAATTATGGCGTAATTCATCATGCGAATGCGAGCGCGCTCGCAATCTCTTTGAAATGGCGCGTGCGGCTGCACTCGTGCTGCGGTGAGCTCACTACTCTATTTGAAAGTTGTCTGGCAGTGTTAAACTTGTTTAGCCCTATCGAGGCAAATCTCCCCACGTACGAAGGAACGGACACAATCTGAGAGTTCGTCGGACTGACGACCGCGAGTGGAAACTTCGATTTCGAGTACACAAGAGACACTGAGTACGCGTCTCCCTGACGTCGATCCAGGTCAAAGTATATTTTCTCGGTCGCACTCTGATGGCGGCAAACGAACCGCAGCGGTACGCGCGTTCGGAATTTACCAAAGTGAACCCTTCCCCCTTTTGACTTAATTGGCGGCTTTCTCGCACGGGGACCGTCTTTGACTTTCCTTTCAGCGACTGAGAAGTCCGAAACTCGCCGATGGTCAGCGGCGCGAGACAATGTCGTGAAGACTCGCGAAGTAACGAACTGCGGTAACGTTCTGCGCTATCGCATCGGCAAAGTATCATTTCGAAGATATCGAAGATACGAGCGGTCAGCAAAGTATGCTAATTTACTTTATGCATTTTATTTATGCATCGAAATTAATTAATTAATATTTTAATTAAATATAATTTCTAATTTAACTTTATCTATTTGAGAGAATAACTGTCACAGTTTTTATTTTCTTGTTGCTATATCATATAAAATTTTTCCATGTAGCCGATAAGTTCATACAACGAAACTATTCGATCATCCAATTTGCTCTTCGGATAATCTCTCGATTTCCAGTCTATTTGAAGCATTCCTAGTTGTGAAATTCTTGCAGACGCAAAACGCCAGTAAAGTCGCGTCATTTGTTCCTTGTCACGGTAAACCACTTCTTTCGAGTTCTTGAATTTGGTAACTAACTTAATTGGCGGCTTCGAGACGGTCGCGAACCGTCTTTGTGGATTGAAGTGGCACGGGACCACGATGCTTCAGAGGGTCGTGGACGGCAACTAAGAAGCTCGAAACTTGTTAATGGCGTGGGTGTTATGGGACAATAGCGTAAAGACCGTCGAGATTGCGAGGGGACTGCAAGACTTTGTGTTTGATGCAAACTCGACCAATTAAGTCGTTAAAAGAACACGTTTTTCTCTTCTCCAATCGAATGCCAAGTGTGTGGAATATTTTAATTAATATCGAAATATATGGCTATAATCTATGTTTATATCGATTCTCAAAATTAACAAAGCCAATTTTTCAAAAGCGTTTTATTATAAATGCTTGTTGACGCTGCAAATGGTCGAAAATACAAGGATTTTTACAAATCAAGCTTTAAAAGGATAAATATGAGTAACTGCACTATTCGATAGTAGATTTATGACTATCAGTGAGCTTTGCGTATATTTAGCAAATGACAGCGAAATACAATATGGTGGATTGGTCTGCTCAGTGGAGATATAATGCCCTCACATTGGCAAAGCTATGTTCACTGGTTGCCGGCTAGTGGAAACAGTACATCTAAACGCTTACATGGATACCATGTTACGTAGTACGAGAGAAGCACGTTTGTGCCAGTGAATCGCTATTATTTCGAATATCAACGCGGCATTAAGCCGATGTAAACCGGAGGTAAATACGATCCGCAGTCTCCGCAGCCGGCGAATAAAATCATTCGAATACAAATGTCATTTCCGACAATTCGGTTGCTGTTATTTTGACTTGCGTCAAATTTTACCGTCATTTCGACGTAATTGTGGCTTTCAGACACACAAGGAGATCTATATCTTTTGAATAAACACCAAAATGTCATTTTCAGCGAAAAGGAAAAAAAAAAATCTTTTATTAGCATAATCTTAACGTTTTGCATTTCAACAAAAATTTAGTAAAAAAGATAAACCATGTGAAAAATAATCCGTCATATAGAAAAAAATGATTTCGAAATAATTGGCAATTTTTTAGATACATTTCGGCACGGAATGGAATTTTCAATCTTCACACGCACGAGAAAACCAATACTATAATTTTGATTGCTGCGCAGATTGCGAGAGATTCACGCGCGCGACAATAACGTATTAAGTTTTTTTTTTGCGTTTGATAACACATGTTTGTCACATTTTTCTCATATCACAGGAATCTTGTTTTAAACTGCGATGCAAAAATTCGACGGATTTAGTTATATCTTTATAATTTCTTTTAAACGCGTGGAGAATATTTGCTTTGAAGTAATCTGCAGCGGGAAAGGATACGCGCCCCCTGATATGAATAACCTTTTTCATCGGGACAGGTTGAGAGTGCGATGGGAGAGGGAGGGAGGAAAAGAGAGTTAATTTTACGACGAGAAAAATGCGCATTTACCGGCCGTTCGCGAGAAAGGGGACGGGGCGGGTGTGCGCCCGAAGCGAAGCGCTGAATTCGTTTCTTGTCCCTCGGCGAGCGGTTTTGTACCTTTGTAATAAAACTGCATTTCCATTTCCGCGTACAGCGCGCGCGTTGAAATTAACGTTACGCGGAGACGGGCATTACACGGAGTTTCCGGTTAATGGACCGTAACGTTTATATCTGGCTGCTCTTGGTAATATATCGGCGACGCGATAAACGCACGCTGCCCGCCCAGCCCATCGACGGCCCAGCACGCTGACGAATCGGCCGGCGTATACGAACTTCGCGGTCTCACGTCGCCACGCCGAGTATAAGTTTATAAGAGCCGTCCGAAAATCTGACGATGAAAAAGGGAATAGCTACTTTCGGGTTATACTACAAGGTGCAAATCCGAAAATCACGGGAGGTAACGATGTCGATCGCGACTATCTCCTCCGTTCTCCCTCTTTCTCACATCTTCCCTCCCGCTTTTACCTTAACCTTATGTGTTTCCCGTCGCCGAGGGTCTTGTTTGTGGACGAGGGCACGGCGCTTTTACGGAGGCACACATAATTTTCTGCGCCGACTGCTTGCGCGTAGACGGTGGGTTCGGTGGATCATCCTTATCTGACCGCCTAGCAGATATGCACGTTCTTCGAGCGAGATAAGGC